CCTTCCTTTGTTCATTCTGAACAGTCCAGTTTCTCTTTCTTTTTCTCTGTGCTTGAGCGTGCACAAGCACTTCACTGACACTGACAGTAATAACTCTGCTGGAGATAGAACAGGAGCGCTGGTCCGGGGCTCGTCTGTAACTCTCAGGGCCAGCAAGTTAACAATAGGCCCCTTCTTTTTAGGAGGAAAGACTAGAAAGGGAAAAAGAGAATAGCTTCTCACGATGCTTTTATGTTGACTAGCCCTAGGACTCCTTTCCTTCCCTGAGCACTCGTCTCTGTCAACATCTCCTTTCTGAAAAGTCCTTCATTTACATGATCTGGAGCCCTCAAAATGATCTGTTAAGGTTCAGGGCAGATCTGTCCCATAACAGTTCCCCTTGTCTCATTGCCCCCTCCCCGCAGACAGAAGGACTCCTACCCTGTCTTTTTGCAGTAATTGGCTGCATGCCCACAGCCTGGTCTGAAAGTCTCCTCTCTCCCTTTCAGATGACCCAGCAGATGGCTGGGATGAACTTCTGTGGAGCCCATGGCATGCTGAGCTATGGACAGTCGATGAGCGGCGGAAATGGACAGGCAGCAAATCAGACTCTCAGCCCTCAGATGTGGAAATAAAAAACAAAACACCTGTATGGCTACCACTCTCCTCAGCCCTCTCTCCCCCACTTTTCCTCTTTCCCCAACTCCTCCCACCCCATCCCCCTTTCCTACCTCTCTGTTTGGTTTAGAAATTACTCAATCTGTCGTTTGGGGGTTGGCATTCTGCCCAGCCCAGCCACTTCCCGGACACGCAGGCCTCTCTGTTGCTTTATGACGAACATGTCCCCTCGCCATCCCGCCTTCCTCTGCAGCCTCAGCCCCCGTCCTCTCCTGGCACCAGCACCTTAGGAATTGTTGGCAGAAGGCACTTAAACTGTGGGAGAAAAGTGCACACCTTTGAGTACCTTTCCCGTGAGGTTAAACCTCCTATCAGACTCTCAGGAAGGTCTGTAGGTGTTGTCTTTTAGGCAAAGAGGGGAAGGTGTAGAGATACTTCCGTATGTGTTGCTAAGCTATTTCTGCATGTTTAAATTTTTGGTTGAAGAGGGAGGCATCATGCTCCCATAATTTATGGGAAAGAAGAAAGTACTGAAATCAAATTAAATACCCCTTGCGTCTTAGGTCAGGTTGGCCCTAGCCCTGAGCTGAGGCAAACACCCTGCTGTAGGGATGAGCAAAAATACTACTCTACTTTGCCCTGAATCGAGGCTTCAGGACTCGCCGCTTCAGTCAGCATTTATTAGCACCAAAGACTTTACGAAGGTCCCACACGAGAACACACACCCTGCCCCGCCTCCATGCTACCTGCAGTGGGATCTGGCTGTATGGCTGGAGCACCAGCCCCTCCAGCGGGAATGCAGAGCTTAATGTGTGTACTGCGTGTGTGTGTGGTGTGTGTGCGTGTGTGTGCGTGTGGATCCTTTCCCCATCTGCTCTGGGTGTTTTGTTTTGTTTTAGGTTTACACAGAGAGGAGTTAATTTATCAACCGCCTAAAACTGTTGCCACTTTTTCTTATAGTTTAAAAAAATTGCAGTCTCACAGATCGCTCTCTTCCTCCTCCCCCTTCTCTCCCAATCCGCCAGTCACTCTCTCTCTCATGCCTATGGTATCCCAGGCTGCTGTTTCCCCACCTTCTCCAGGTGTGTGAGGCAGAGAGCCTGGAGCTTTCCTCTCGGTCATTATTCACCCTACGTGAAAATTAAAACGAGAAAACTTTGCTTAAAAGATTTCACCTGTGGGAACCACAATTCCTGGTTGCCTTTCTCCTGTGTATGTGTAAATTCCTTAATAAATATTGCAGGGAAGGACCATTTGCTTGGCTCTTGCTGTGTATCACTCACGGAGGAGGGGGAGCTGCACCTAGGTTTTCTGCTTTCCAGGCGCAGTTCCCCCACTTCCTGGATTCTAAAAAAATTCTATACTGGGCATGCCCCAAGGACAGGGCCCAGGCTCCGGTGGTCAGAGAGGGGACCTTTGTCCTTTGTCCAGTGGTGTCTGGAGGCGTGCGCTGAGGGAACCGTGCTTATCTGCTCCCGCTAGAGCCACAGAACACGGAACCCAGAAGTCCTTTACTCCCCAACAGATAGAGAAGCCGAGAGCCACCTCCCTTCCTCCCACCCTCCCTTCTTTCCTTCGAGGACACCTTCTAAATACCTTCAGAGGTAATGAGAGGATAGCACAGTGGCAAAGAAAGTAAGCTCTGGAGCAGGCTGCCAATATTCATATCCCCTCCTGGGCAAGCTACCGAACCCCTGGGTCTCAGTGTAAAGTGGAGCCAATGGTCAAATGAGGCAATTCCTGTGGTACATTCTGCGCGGCGTTGGACCCTGAGCATTCAAATGTTAGCAAGTATCGTGTGCCAGGCCTATGCTGGGCACTAACTCATTCAGCAAATATTTCATAAGTGTTTTTGCAATATGCCAAACACTAAGCAATGAATCAATACTCCTCAATTTCATGGGATAAGTGTGGTAGGAGAGACAGAAAACAAGTAAATAGACTGTTTAATTTCAGATAGTAACAATACAAGGTAGGACAAGTCAAGAGGAGAGAGTGGGTGCGTGACCACCAAGATGGAGTGTTACATTTGAACTGAGACCTGAATAAGCAGCCACTTCTGTGGAGATTTGGAAAGACAATAGAGCAAGCGTAAATGTCTGCCTTGGAAATTGTTTGGCTGGAGGTATTGGTTTGCGAGTCATCAGGGTATGGATGGTGTGTGAAGCCGTGAGACCAGATGAAGTACCTAAGGAGAAAGCATGGAGAGAAGAGGACTGAGCCTTGGGACCCATCAGCTTGTAGAATTTGGGAAGAACAGATGAGCAAAAATGAATCTGACATAGTTTCTGCTCTTAAGTTCACAGTCTCATGGCACAACAGATTTAGAATCGCTTATACGGTATATTACGGGAGCTCAGGGGCTCCTAGCCCAGTCAGGGATAACTCTCTAAGGATCAGGGTGTCAGAACTAGTCTTACAGGGGAGGTAGGAGTTAACCAGCAGGTTGGATGTGAGCGGGGAGAAGAGTATAAAAGACAGCACCCTGTGAACAAAGATAAAGAGCAAGAACATTTGGGGAAGCGCAAGCAGTTCATTGTATGGTCTGATGTGAGTCGGTACGGGGAGAAGTGAGACTGAGGTATGGCCAAGCCAGATCATGGGGGCTTCCTATGCCCTAGGAAGGAGTTAGCCTTAGTGTTGTAAATGGTGAAGTGACACAGAGTTGAGTTTGAGGCTGCTCACTCTTGCACTGCTGAGAACAATGTGTTCGAGGGAACAAGACCAGATCTAATGGACCAGAGAGATGGTGAAAGCTGAACCCAGGCCATGGTAGGTGGGGGTAGGGGAGAATGGAGTGAGAGCAGCATTTCATGAACTGCGTATGAGGCATGTGAGATGCTAAAAGGTGTCCCACAACACCGAAATAAGTTTGGGAAAGACCTCATGTTATATCGCCTCTTGTGCATCTTGAATATAATATCCACATAGTAATGGCTCTGAAAAGTCCTGTGGTAAAGACTTAAAAAAAATCAATAGGCCAGGGCGCCTGGGTGGCTCAGTTGGTCAAGCCTCTGACTTCGGCTCAGGTGATGATCTCACCGTTTGTGAGTTCAAGCCCCACATTGGGCTCTGTGCTGACAGCTCAGAGCATGGATCCTGTTTCGGATTCGGTTTCCCTCGCTCTCTGCCCCTACCCCACTCACGCCCTGTCTCTCTCTTTCGTAAAAATAAACATTTTTTTTAATTTTTAATGTTTATTTATTTTTGAGAGAGACAGAGATAGAATGTGAGTGGGTTAGGGATAGAGAGAGAGGAAGACACAGAATCTGAAGCAGACTCAAGGTTCCAAGCTGTCAGCACGGAGCCTGACGTGGGGTTCGAACTCACAAGCTGTGAGATCATGACCTGAGCTGAAGTCAGATGCTCAAACAACTGAGCCACCCAGGCGCCCAAAAATAAATAAACATTTTTAAAAAAAGATTCTTCCATGTCTCTCATGGCTTGAGAGCTCATTTCTTTTTAGCACTAAATAATATTTCATTGTCTGGATGTACCACAGTTTACTTACCAATTCACTTGCTGAAGGACATCTTGGTTGCTTCCAAGTTTTGACAAGGATAAATAAAATTGCTGTAAACACCCATGTGCAGGTTTTTGTGTGGACATAAGTTTCTAATTCATTTGAGTAAATAGCGTGGAGTATAATTGCTGGGTCATATGATAAGAGTATGATTACTTTTGTAAGAAACTGCCAAAACTCTTCCAAAGTGGCTGAACCATGCTGCATTCCCATCAACAATGAATGAGTGTCCCTGTTGTGCCACATGCTCGTCAGCCTTTGGTGTTGTCGGTGCTTTCTATCATGGCCATTCTACCAGGGGTATGGTGGTATCTCATCGTTTTAATTTGTAATCCCCTACTGACATGATGTCGCAAACATTTTCAGATGCTTACTTGGTATCCATATGCCTTCCTTGGTGAGGTGTCTGTTCAGGTCTTTGCCTATTTTAAAGATCAGGTTGTTTTCTTAGTGTTGTGTTTTAAGAGTTCTTTGTGTACTTTGGATAACAGTCCTTTTTCAGAGGTGGTTTTTTGCAAGTAGTTTTTCCCAGTCTGTGGCTTGTCTTTTCATTTTCTTGAGTAAGACCTTTTTGTGTGTGTTTTTCTAGCATTTACCAAGACATTTTTTGGTGACATCCATTTTTTATCTGGAATATCTAATAACTGTAGAATATTACTTGGGGAAAACAACCAGAAAAAAATATCTTAGGAATGAGAATTGGGAGGTCTCAGTAATGGATGAGATGTGGGATGGAGGGAGAGAAGGAATCAAATCTCCCACGTTTCTAGCTTGTGCGAGAGAATTAATAGCAGGAAAAGCTGGCTTTTCCCTCTCAGAGGGCAGCTACAGAAAATTAGAAGTTTGGTTTTAGGCATGGTGAATTTGCAATGCCTGTGGTATATTCAGGTCTGGTTGACCAGCTGGAAATGGATTTGAGTCTGAGGTTTGTTCAAGGAAGAAGCCAAGATGGAGAAATGAACTTGAGAGTCAGCCCCATGGAGGTGGTAATCGATGACATGGGATTGGAGGGGATCATACAGGGTAGATTTTTTTAAATAAGAGCAGGAGCATCTGGGTGGCTTAGTCAGTTAAGCATCCAACTCTTGGTTTTGGCTCAGTTCATGATCTCGCAATTGGCGGGTTCCACACTGACAGTGTGAAACCTGCTTGGGATTCTCTCTCTCTCTCTCTGCCCCTCCCCCTGCTCATGCTGTCTCTCTCTCTCTCTCTCTCTCTCTCTCTCTCTCTCTCTCTCGTCTCTCTCTCTCTGTCTCTCTCAAAATAAATAAATAAACTTAAAAAAAAATAAGAGCAGTGGGCTGGGCACAGAATCTTGGGGGAATTATTCATTACTTTTTCTTTCTTCCTCCCTCCCTCCCTCTCTCTCTCTCTCCATTTCTTTCTTTCTTTCTTTCTTTCTTTCTTTCTTTCTTTCTTTCTTTCTTTCTTTCTTTTCTTTCTTTCTGAGAGAAGGGGCACAAGTGAGCAAGGGGCAGAAAGAGAATCCCATGAGGGGCAGGGAGGGAGAGAGAAGCAGAGCTCACCAGATGCAGGGCTTGAGCTCATGAGGACCTGAGCTGCAGTCCACAGTCCAGTGCCTAATTGAGTGAGCCATTCAGGCGCCCCTGGCAAAACAAAACAAGTCCAAGAAAGTGCAATGTCAAGAAGCCTTAGGGACAAGAATATCAAGAAGGAGAGATGATCACAAATATCAAATTAGCAGGAAAATTCAGTGAGATAATGGATTGATAAAAGGACTATTTAATTCAGCATTTGGAAACTTATGCAGAAGCAGTTTTAGTGGAATGGTGGGGCCAGAAGCCAGAGTATGGTGGGCTGGGGAATGAATCGAAGGAGCTGAAAAAGTAGAGAAACAAGCTCTATTCAGTACGTGGTAAGCTTTAAGGGTTTCTCTTTTTTGTTTTTAGGTTTTTTTAATGTTTATTTTTGAGAGAGACACAGAGCACAAGCGGAGGAGGGGCAGAGAGCAAGGGAGACACAGAATCCGAAGCAGGCTCCAGGCTCTGAGCTGTCAGCACTGAGCCCCATACGGGGCTTGAACCCACGAACAGCGAGATCATGACCTGAGCCAAATTCGGACGCTTAACCGACTGAGCCACCCAGGTGTCCCTAATGATTACTCTTAAGAATATAAATGGGGGGGGGGGGCACCTGGGTGGCTCAGTCGGTTGAGCGTCCGAATTCAGTTCAGGTCATGAACTCACGGTTTGTGGGTTCGAGCCCCGCGTCGAGCTCTGTGCTGACAGCTCAGAGCCTGGAGCCTGCTTCGCATTCTGTGTCTCCCTCTCTCTCTGACCCTCTCCCACTCTCTCTCTCTCTCTTTCTCTCTCTCAAAAATAAACATTATAAAAATAAAAAATAATAATTTAAAAGAATAGAAATAGGGTATGTAAATCACAAACCAATAAAGAGGGAAACTTTGGAATAAGAAAATGCAAATAAATAAAAATATCGAGTCTGTAAGCTTAAGGCGAACTAAGAATAAAAAGTAAAAATAGAAAAGTAGAATAGAATTAATAATACAATAAATGGAATATTCAAAATATTGAGATTGTCAGATTGGATAATTAAAATCCATTCTCTTGCTTTTTAGACCTTTTTTCTTCTAAGACCACTTGCCTTAAACTGAAGTGTATCCTTTGGAAGTTCCTTTAGTGAAGGTCTTTTTGAGTCTTGCCAGAAGCATAAGGACAGGAAAATGTTTAAAATGAAAGAATGGAAAAAG